ATTCTCGGACTGTGCATCTCCCACTTGGCTGCTGCTGAGGGACCCCCCCAAAAGAGATTGTCCGGGTCATTCACTGCAGAGTCATGCAACATGCTGGGCTAGAGCACTGGTGGACCTCACGGTCCCTTGGGAAAAAGGAACCAAGCCCAGGCTGTTCTGGTAAGTCCCTTAGAGATGTTACATTTCCAGTGTATTCTGTTGTGAGAAAATGCAGGGGTCAATCCAAGGTGACTCTAAAAATTGTCCTGAACTTCTTAAATCTGTAAATTCATTTTTTTTTATCACATTTGACATCATTTTAGTCATTGTTTCATCACCTTATTTTTCTTCTAGTGGGCTTTCAACTTGATATGTCATTAAGCTGACTGATACTGTCTTACAAGATGTGATGTCATTTGTTTTTTTCAGATATATACTGAGAGAGAGACAGAGAGAAATATCTTCCGTCTGATGATTCACTCCTCAAGTGACTGCAATGGCAGATGCTGCGTTGATCTGAAGCCAGAAGCCAGGAGTCAGGAGCTCAGATCCTCTTCCGGGTCTCCCACGCAGGTGCAGGGTCCCAAGTCTTTGGGCTGTCCTTGACTGCTTTCTCAGGCGACAAGCAGGGAGCTGGATTGGAAGCGGGACTTCCGGGATTAGAGCTGGGGCCCGTATGAGATTCTGGTGCGTTCAAGGTGAGGACTTTAGCCGCTATGCCACGGTACTGGACCCTTTCCATTTGGTTTTTAAAGTCTCTTTTCCTCTGTGTGTTTCCTTTTGGATTGTTTCTGCTACACTGAAGTCATTGATCTTGTCTTCTACTTGTTTGACATGAAGCCTACCTGTTGTATATGTTTTCATTTTTGATGTATTTATCTTCTGTGGTTCATCTGGAATTAAAAAAATCATTCCCATCATGTTCATTTCCATTTAAGTGATATGCCTCTTTTTAAAAAGATTTATTTTATTTTCATTGGAAAGGCAGATATACGGAGGAGGAGAGACAGAGAGGAAGATCTTCCATTCAATGACTCACTCCCCAAGCGGCCGCAATAGATGGAGCTGAGCCAATCCAAAGCCAGGAGCCTGGAGCCTCCTCTGGGTCTCCCTCGCAGGTGCAGGATCCCAAGGCTTTGGGCCACCCTAGACTGCTTTCCCAGGCCACAAGCAGGGAGAAGGATGGGAAATGGGGCCACTGGAATTAGAACCAGCACCCATATGGGATCCTGGCGCATGAAGGCGAGAACTTTAGACACTAGGCTGCTGTGCTGGGTCCGTGCTATGCCTTTGATCATATTGGTCAGACTTAGAGTAATACTTACACAGACCTTTCTAATCTCCTCGGTTCCTTGCTGAACACAGACAACCGTTGCACCTATCCTGTGGGCACTGCCAGAGTGTTTCCTTGGGGATTAGATGCCACTCACAGCTATACTGAGAAGCAAATACCTCCAGCAAAGATAAATGCAGAAACCAATCTTGTTTATCTCCATTAACCCCATTCATTTCATTTTCTGGAATTCCCAAGTCCTTTTCTAGGACTGTTTTTACTTCATTATAGGTCATTTTTTTTTTCTTTACTTGCCTCACGTCTCATTGGCTGTTGGGTACTGTGCATTTGACATGGTTAACGGTTCAGTGCTGATTTTTTTTGCGGGGGGGGGTGGCGGGTATTGCAATCCTTTACTGATTATAACTTAAGACATGTTTGCCCTCGTGCTTAATGCCCACTTCCCATATAAATGTCTGTGACTTGATACCTGGCTCTGCTCCTAGCGCCAGCTTCCTGCTGCTACAGAGCTTGGAGGGGTGGGGCGGCGAGAAGTGATGCTTCCAGCAGGGGGATCTGGGTTGAGTCTCTAGCTCTTGGCTCTGGCCCCAGCCCAGGTCCAACCTTGGCTGTTGTGGACACCTAATGCTGTACAAGCCAGTGAAGTCAGTGGTAGATCTCTATCTCTCACTCACACATTCTTTTTTCTTTCTGTATGTGTCTCTCAAATAATTCAGATGTTTCCATTTTTATATCATAATGAACATTATAATAAAAACCTTTTACGACAGGTGTCCTAATATAGAACTACAGGATCACATAAAGGGAACTCTATATTTCAATCATTATCTATCTATCTAAAATTTTATTTATACACTTACTTGGAAAATAAACAAAAATTAAGGAAAAAACACTTAAAAATGTATTTATTTTGTTATTGGAAAGGCAGATCTACAGACAGAAGCAGAAGACGGAGGGGAAGATGTCCATCCATTAGCTCACTCCCCAAGTGGTCACAATGGCTGGACTGAAGCCAGAAGTCAGGAGCTTCTTCCAGGTCTCCCATGCGGGTGCAGCGTCCCAAGGCTCTGGCCTTTCTCAGACTACAAGCAGGGAGCTGGTTGGGAAGTTGAGCAGCCAGGACACAAACTGGTGCCCACATGGGATCCTGGCAGATGCAAGGCGGGGATTAGCTTTTAGCCCATTGCACATGGCCCAGAGAAAAAACATGTTTGACCATGACACGCCGCTCTTGTACTCCCAGTGCCTGCTTCTCCTGGCTCCCACCCCTAGAGGCAGCCATTATACTGTTTGGTACTCGGCCTTCCAATTCCTGTTTAAAGTTTCTTTTATCTTTCTTTGTTTCTCTCACTCTCTCTGTGTATGAGTGTACTTCAAAAATTTGTGATAAAACAGAATTAGCAAGTTTATGTAAAAATATTTGAAATTTACACATGGTCTTCAAAAAGTTCATGAAGAGTATGTGTCATGAGAAAATTATACACCTATTTCTAAATGCCTTTGAGTTGAACCCTTCTTTCAATTTTGCCAGATGTTTTGAAGTCCTCTCATGTCTGTAAACAGGTGTTTCTAAGATGACACATTATTTGGAGACTAATAACTCCGGTGTGATACTTGCAACATGAATCTCTTTCTGTATTGTTTACCAGAACAAAAACTAATTATATCACTTCTATCTTTTCCATCAATATTCATATCCTATAAATAAACCATGGTGTAATGGGAGCTCTGAATCCCAACAAGTGACTCAAGTGGCCACCCTAATAATTCATACCATGTCCTCTTGATAATACCAGATTGTGTTTCACGAGGTCCTTGTCTTTTCAGGGAGGGTCAATGGGATTAATTTCAAGGGGTTGCTGATTCAGCATGGGAGCAAAACACTAGGTCGATTATAGATCTGACAATTCACTTATTCTTAAACTCCACTAGTATTTCCCTAATACAAGTGGAATACTGAACCAGCCATTTAGAGACGGGAACCTGTGCATGAATGCCTGTGTGAAGGACGGCTCTGCTGATGCTGGGAAGGGCGTGAGATGTAACCTCCAGCTTGAGGGGGCTCCTGAGCGCTGCCCAGCAGCCAGGAGCTTGCTGGGGGTGGGTAACAGGTTTCCTGGCTCTGCCGCATAAAAGCCAGATGACCATGTTTCATCACCCAAAACTCTTGCAAGGAAATAATTTCCTCTCCTACAAAGTATGTGGTGACAGCAATATGCATTTTTCGATGTAGGTGGGTCTGGATTGTCTCACATTTCCTGGACTTCTCTGAGGACTAAAATGTTAATTCCAGGGCAAAGGGCATTTGGCTCTCTCCTGGGCTTCTACAACCAACTTGCCCTATCGAAAGAAAAACCTGGGAAAGGACCCAGTAATAAGAAAACAAAGAAGGGTGTTAATCTGATCACTCTACCACTGAATCAGTCGATAGCCATTTTTTTTTCCAAAAAGACAAAGTTTTTTTTTTTCTTCTTTTTTCCCCAAACTTCTTTCAAGCTAATGAGTATTAGGAAGTTACTAGTGGCTGGGCTGGCCAGTCTGTCAGCCCCTACCTCCATATGAAGGTCTGACAGGGCCGATGGAGTGGGGCATTGGCACAGGCGACAGGTAACATGGCAGAAGCCCTGGGCTGGCACCCTGCCCGTGCCTACAGGCATTACGGTAGCAAGAAAAGGCAGGTTGTGCACAAAGCCCAATTCAGTTAGGATTTGTTTGGGATGCTGTATGAACACTGAGCAAGAATTGTTTCAACTTCTGCTTCTCAGCCACAAACCATTTCTCAGAGCTAAGCTGCCACCTGTAACGTCATAGAGCTGGTTCATATCCTGGTTGCTCCGCTTCCGATCCAGCTTCCTGCTAATGTACCTTGGAAAGCAGTGGAGGATGGCTCAGCGCATGGGCCCCTGCACCCACGAGAGACTCTGCCTCTGCAGTGCCAGACTCCTGGCCTCAGCCTGGACTACACGGGCCTTGGGGAATGAGCCAGGATTATACAAGTTCTTTCCCTCCTTTTTTCTTTATCAAATAAATGCATCTTTAAAATTAAAAAAAAAAAAGCAGCATACTGAATAATGGATTTGGGGTTTCGCTCATTATTCCTCTTCCTGGAAAGTAAACACCACTAATTCCCATTCTTGAGCCCTCTCCTGGTCTGGGTTGACCCTGGAGAATGGTTTAACAGTGCATGGGCAGTGCTGTGGCTCAACCACTGGGCTTCCCTCCGCCCAGGCCCTGCGGTCAGTCGCACCTGCACACACTGGGGCTGCAGTGGCAGCCCGTCCAGGGCCAAGGGCTGCTCATCAAAGCCCACGTGAGGCGGGAGCATTCTCCCCACCTGTGTGCATGGATGCGAAGGTAGCAAAAACCCCGGGGCCCTCTTTCACTGCCTGTGTAGCAACTTAAACGGTCAGGCGGCCGCCAAACGCACCTGTTCCGTGTTGGCAAGGGAGCAACGTGTATGACCCTAAACATACCTGGGCACCTGTTTTCAACCCCGCCCCCGCAGCCCGGGGGTGTGAGAACCGGGTGTTTGAGGCGGGCCCCTCGCGTGTCGCGTATACAGTGGGGCTTCCTGCGACGCCTCGGCGCCTCGGGGGTCGGCTTCCTCCGCACGCGCGCGTCCTTGCGCGGTCGCGGGTGGAGGCAGAGGAGCTGGAGCGCGAGGGGACGCGAGGGGACGCGAGGCCACGCGCCTCCGCGCAGGCACTCGGGCGCTCCAGGCCGGGGACCCGCCCCGTCGCCCGCAGGTGGAGCGGCCGCGGGCGCCGAGTAGGTGCGTGGGGATGATCTCACCCGCTCGCACCGCGCCAGGAGGAGGAGGAGGAGGAGCGGGAGCGGATCCAACTTCCGGGTAGAGGCGCCGCACGCCAGAGGCGTCTTTGCCTTGTCTTCCCCTCCCCCGGGTCCCCTCGTCGCTCCCTCCTTTTCTTTTATTCGCGGCCCCACCCGCCAAAATGAACAGCTCGGCCGAGGAGAAGCAGTTGCAGCTCATCACCAGCTTGAAGGAGCAAGGTAGGCGGCCACGCGGGCTCCAGGTGCGGGCGGCCGCGGCCCGTGGGCGGAGACGGCGCCCTGGCGCTCGGGCCGGGGCAGGTGGGGAGTCCGGCGGGCGGCTCCGCGGTGGCCGGGGTCACCCTGGTGGCCGGGTGGCGCGCGTGGAGGGGCGTCCTGAGTGCCCTGCGCGCCGCGGGGAGCCCACGCGCCGGTGTCGGGCCGGTGGTGCGGCAGAGCCAGCGGGGCTCGGGGCGGGGAATTGAGAGCGGAGGGGGAAGGGACCAGCGCCCGGCGCGGCTAGGGTCGCGTGGTGGCACCTGGAAAGCGCAGAGGCGGGGTGCGGCAGGGTGTCGGGGTGGTGGTGCGTGGTCTGGCTCCCCGGCCCCACCCTGGCACACTTGCTGGCGCTGGGTGGCCTGCAGCGCCGCGTCGTAGCTCTCCCACCTCCCCCCACCCACCTTGAAGTCGGTCTGGTTCCTCTTTTCCTTTCGCCAGTTGGGATTTTTTAGCCCCCCCCCCCGTGTGTTTTTGTCACTTCCCATTTATAGCAATTGATGAATCAGTCAGCCGACACCCTTTGCCTGTGGGCGCCGGGCTCGTGCAAGCCAGGCCCTGTGCACAAACATTTCTCTCCTGCTTGGGAATCGGCTGCTATCCTGTCATAAAGGGCTGTTTTTTTTTCCATCACTTGCTACACTTGGGAACAAAGCCGCATCAGTAAGCCAGTGCTCACCCAACGCGTGAAACACATGGCTGCAATCACTGTCCCTGAGGGTGGCCTGGGAGTGTGGGTCAAGAGCGAGAGAGAGACCTTGCAGATTTAGGAAGTAAAAAAAAATGGAGGCTCTTGAGCTTCCTTGCACATGGTGGGGAGGCAGGGCCCTGCTCTGCAATTAGACCAGGGCTCTCCCAGCTCTTTCACTTCTTCTAGGTCAGCCCTCTAGGCCGGCTCTTGCCTTGAGTGGGTCAGTGTAGGGCACGGAGGCTTGCTGGGGTTCTGTGCAGTCCTAGGACCTGTTGCTCCCTCACCCCTCCTGGTGAGCACCCACCACCCTCTTCACTCTGTGACCCTGGGGAAATCACTGAAAGTTGGGCCTGGGCAGAATGCCTTCCTGCAGGCTGTTGAGTGTTACTTTCCCGGCACCTGCACCTCCTGTGCTAGAAGGGCCTGGAGGTGGGGCGGTGAGGACTCCCCATGGGCCCCTGACGGACCTTCTGGCCTTTGGGAGCTTGGCCTCTTTGTGGAGGTCAGCTCTTTCTGTGGATGGTCAGTTTTTAGGTAAGGATGACAGTTTTACAATGAGCTTCCTTCTTTGCCTGTAGGTTTTCCAGGGTGGCTCAGCAGGGCTGATAACCCACAGCCTGTTTCTGTTTGGCTGGAGTACCTTCTTTCTCTGTGTTGCACTGGAGGACTGAGAGGAAGGGAAGTTTGCTAAGTTTCTGGCTCTTTCTCTTACTGGAAGGCAAATCCCCCATGGTTTTGGTCATTTTAGAAAGTATATTTCCTTGGTTAAGAATACGCCACCAGAAACAGACCAGTTAGACGTTGAGATTGGTATGGCTTACGACGCACTGTTTAAGGACATGAAAGGTGGTGACACGCTTGCTTTTTTTTTTTTAGCTCACGGTGTGATTTTTATACTTTTCAAAACTGGGTCATTTGTCCTTTGCGCATAGGCTGTGATAACAACGGGCTTGTTACCAGAGGATGAATTTACTGTGTGGTAAATTGAACTAACTGAACAACTAGGGATTTGAGGTGGAGAAACAGCCCACTAGGTCTTGAGGCACTTAACAGTAAGGTCGTTGGTTTTGTAAGCTGATGGAGTGTGTGTGTGTGTGTGTGTGTGTGTGTGTGTGTGTGTGTGTGTGTAGTTTTGAAAGCAGTACTTTTTCCTGCCAGTTAACATCACATACTACCCCCATTCTGAGTGAATGAGACGGGCTGGTGTTGATTAAATACCCTATTCCTTTCTAAAGGTTAAGTACACCTGCCATGCGTGAGGCCCGTTGCCAGGCCGGGGGTAACGGGTAGTGGGCCACACAGCCCTCGTACTCCCCAGGTTTTCTGTCTTACAGGTAGTCATTAGCTAAACATACTCCGTTACAGTTAGAGTCTTAGAGATGGAATGTATGAATTAGAGGGAAGACAGACCAGGCATTTTGCTGGCATGGCGGAAGCGTCTCGCACCAGGGCTCTTGGTTGCTCATTGCTTGTAGCAGTGTGTACTGGTGGACTCTGGCCGCTCACCTCCCCTGTTAATGTGACAGCCAGACCAGCTTCTGAACCTCTGTTCCCGCCCCCCACACATCTTCCTCTGTTGTTTGTGTTGTCCCACTCTGTGGCCTTGTCAGGTTCATCCTGGTGTTGCTTCCCTGGTGAGGTTATGTCTGTCATGTGAGCCGGCTCCCTGGGCTGGGGCGCAGCGAGAAGCCTCCTGCCTGCTCCTAAGTGGGGCGTGCAGCCGTCAGTGGCGTGGGGAATCAGGTTGCTTCTGACAGAAGTTGTGAAGTGTAATGACAGGGGCTGTCACAATATGAGTTCTCTCTAATTTATATGGAGCGTCCCCTGAGCTCTGTGTCTTATAAATCACACCCACTTCGGAATCACTTCAAAACATTGTATGTTCCCTTCTTGTGAATGGTATAATTAGCTATATTATATCTTTCTAGAAAGTTATATTATGTCCCTTTAAAAAAAAAAATTAGCCAGTGTGGGATTGCTTATGTTCAAGCAGATGTTGAGGTAATTCTCCTTTTGTCTTTTTGGGGGGCTTTATCTTGCTGACTGATTGACATCTTGAGTGCACAGAAGGGTGGCAACTCCGGGGACTATTTCTGATGCATAGTTCCCAGCTACTAACGTGGACATTTCCCTTACAAAACATCATACAATTTGCCGCCCTTCCAGAATTCTGTTGGAAAATGATAGACTTGGTTCCGCATTTGTTGAAGGTGCATGATTTTCTGTGTAATTCATTCAACCCACGTGCATTGAATATTCATAGCCTTACCCTGTGATAGGCATGAGAGACACAGAGACCAATAGGCCCTGGTTGCTGCTGATCTGAAGATCGGGGCATGGCTGTCACTTCCAGGAAGACTATCTGGTTTATTTGCGGTTGTGGATTCAAATCTTCTGGCCAGGATTTTACTGGCCTGTAGATCCTCTAAGACCAATGGATTGGAGTAGCTTTCTAAGGCAGAACGGGGTGCCCTGGCCAGGAGGTGGGGCACAGACTGGCCAAAAGCAGCAAAGGGTGCCCTTGAAACTGATCAGCATGGTGTTGCCATATCCATTAGAACTTGCAGATGAACCTAAAGATAATGCTGGTCACTTAACAAGGAAGATGTTATCACCAGCAGTCACAGAGACCCAGATGTTAGGGGCTTTTCATGGTCTGGTAGCATGTTAAATGGACTTGCCATGATAAGATAATGGGTTGTAAAGCAAGCTAAACTTCTTCCACCACTAGGCGATTGAGAGGGGGTGCTTAAGGGCTTGAGGGAAAACTTACCAAGCTTATCCTTAGAACTGAGTTGTTAATGACAGGCTGTTCTCAGCCTGGGGTAGAAAGGAGCCAAAGCAGAGCTGAAGCTGTCGCCCATCACAGTGGCCAGATCAGTTTGGAAAAGGTGCAGGGTTGCCAGTCGTGTGTGTTCGTCCAAAGGCAATTTGTAGAAAGTGGTCTGGAATGACATGGTAGTTCTGGTTTTAAACATGAACGTGGCTTTATACTGGTATGTAAATAATTTTATATCTGTTCGAGAGGCATGCAGGTAGAGATACAGAGTGAGCGATTTAAACTCCCAACCCCCCATCTGCTGGTTTATTTGTCAAATGCCTGCAGGACTGGGGCTGGACTGGACTGAAGTTAGGAGCCAGAAATGTGGTGCGGGTCTCCCATGTGTGCAGCAGGGACCTAATGACCTGAGCTGTCACCTGTGGCTTCCCAGGGTGCTCATTAGCAGGATGCTAAAGTCAGGTCAAGGCTGGACGCTCGTGTGGGTCATGGGCATCTTAACTACCAGGTCAGATGCCCATCCCAACGCCGGAAGTTTGTAAGTGTGATGGGGGGGCAGCTGCCTCTGAAACACTAAGGAATTATTAAAAATTAGAATTCCTCTGGGGGCTGGTGAGCTATGGATGAGGAGGATCACACTGGCACTGCCCCGGCAACATGGACGGTCAGCCTGGGCCAAGGGGACTATGCCTTCTAGTCCCAGTCTCACAGATCACTTACCACTTGCAGTAGCCGAGTGAATATTTTAAAAATACAAAATAAACTCATGCTCCAAAAAACCCAAAGCATATAAAATAATAAAGACAATGACCAATTCTCTGAAACCCATTGCTTTCCAACTTTTATTTCCTTACCACCCTCCTGACGAGCCTTTTTAGACTTTATATCCTGCTACCTTGGGAAGATTATAAACCATTTTCCTATCCAAAATACTTCTTTCCCTTGCCTTGGGGACAGGCTCGCCCTGTTTATAAGGCTTGCTCTAACCTGTTCCTGCTTTTTTCAAAGTTATCTGCTCCTGGCTTTTTGTCGTGTTGTCTTCCAGTATCTAATAGTTTGTATCTAATATTCGTTTTTCAATCAGTCATTATCAATTGAATGGATAGTGTTCTGGGCAGATCTCCCTCCATGTAATATCACGTGCTTACACGATTGAGGGGAAGGGTTAAAATGCTTCTTGTAGTGGATTAGACTTGAGAGAAAACTCATGTTTAATTTCATGTAGATGCAGGAGGCTGCATAGAGAAGGTTTTCAGGCATATATGCATGTTTGGATTGGTGTACAGGCGTGCGCGTGCACACACACACACACACACACACACACAACTTGCACAGTAGTGATGAGTGCCCAGAACTTGGTTTCTAATACCCACTAAACGGAAGGTGTTTTTAGGGAAAACAGCTGACTCTAGGAATGGGCTGGTCTTCAGGATTAGCCGGAGGTATCTTGTTAGTGTCAGAAACTATGGAAGTGCTCCAGCTGGAGCCCTCTGC